AACGATTCTCCTGCCTCAGCCTTTTGAGTATCTGGGATTACACGCATGCACCACCACGCCCGGCTAATTTTGTATTTTTTTAGTAGAGACGGGGTTTCTCCATGTTGGTCAGGTTGGTCTTGAACTCCCAACCTCAGGTGATCCACCTGCCTCGTCCTCCCAGAGTGCTGGAATTACAGGCATGAGCCACCATGCCTGGCTTCCCCCTACCCCTTTTTTTAAAAGATGGGGTTTCGCCATGTTGGCCAGGCTGATCTTGAACTCCTGACCTCAAGTGATCCACCCGCCTTGGCCTCCCAAAGTGTGGGGATTACAGGTGTGAGCCACTGCACCTGGCCTACAGTTTCTTCTTCGTAAATGAATACGTGGCGTTTACAGTTGTTTATTTACAATTCTTTCTCAAGACTCTAGGCATCTGGTGCTACGCCTCCACCTTCCTTCTGCTGAAGTCCACTTACTTTCCAGGCAGCTTTCTTGAACAGGATCCGAGGCAATGCTTTCCCGGAGCTCTTGCATGTTTGTATCATACTTACATTAGAGAAAAGATGTTTATTTGACCCTGTGTTGCAAGAGCTGCTATATCCCAAATCACAGGCTCTTAACTACCCCATGGGACGCCTGCATGAACCCTTTGCCCTTTACACATCCTAGGCATAACTCAGACTTCAGCCCACTGTGCCTCTCAAAGACAATGAAAAGGCCAGGTGTAGTGACTCACACCTGTAATCCCAGCACTCTGGGAGGCCGAGGCGGGCGGATCACCTAAGGTCAGGAGTTCCAGACCAACCTGACCAACATGGAGAAACCCTGTCTCTACTAAAAATACAAAATTAGTCGGGTGTGGTGGTGCATGTCTGTAATCCCGGCTACTCAGGAGGCTGAGGCAGGATAATCGCTTGAACCCGGGAGGCGGAGGTTACAATGAGCAGAGATTGCACAACTGCACTCCAGCCTGGGCAACAAGAGTGAAACTCTGTCTCAAAAAAAAAAAAAAAAAGAAAAAGATGAAGAAACACGTATTATGTTCTATTATGCAATCCCAGTAAAATTCCTTTTACTAGTGTGAGGTGAGGGGCATGTACCCCTTAGATGAGCAATGACTCAGTGACTCAATTCAGCAATAGCTTTCTCTAAAACCTTGAATCTCCTATTTTTTTTTCAACCTCTGCAACATCTTTTGTAGGCTGGTGATGGTTAGTGAAAGAAGATTGAAAACTGGTTTTCACGCTGGGCATGGTGGCTCACGCCTGTAGCCTAGCACTTTGGGAGGCTGAGGCGGGTGGGTCACGAGGTCAGGAGTTCGAGACCAGCCTGGCCAATATGGTGAAACCCCGTCTCTACTAAAAATACAAAAATTAGCTGGGCGTGGTGGCACATGCCTGTAGTCCCAGCTACTCAGGAGGCCGAGGCAGAAGCTTGTAGTGGTTGAGGCAGAGGTTGCAGTGAACCGGGATCACGCTGCTGCACTCCAGCCTGGGTGACAGAGCAAGAATCCGTCTCAAAAAAAAAGAAAAAACAAAACAGGTTTTCTATAATCTCCTTTTGCTAATCCTGTGTTGGTGGACTTGCCTCTAACTTTGAAATATGACCTTATTGTTTTGGGGTCTCAGTCAAAAGAGACAAGGGAGGTTCCTTTAAAGCTCCTATGTATCACATATGTCTAGAAATACACGTATGGAACAGCAAATACTAGTTACCTTCGGTGGGGAATTTGTTGGCTCAGGGCAGCAGTAAGAGGGAGAATATTTCACATATATACTTTTTTGAACCATTTTGATTTCAAACCAGATGGTATGTAGTATCAATTCAAAAATTTAAAGAAATGTACTTCCTAAATATGTTATAGTCATACAATGGAACACTTGGGCAAGTCTTGAAAAGAATGAGCTGTATGTCCTAATGTACAAAAATCTCAAAGAAGCTGGTGTGGTGGTGTGTACCTATAGTCTCAGCTACTTGGGAGGTTGAGACTGGAGGATTGCTTGAATCCAGGAGTTTGAGTCCAGCCTGGGCAAGAGAGCAAGGCCCTTCCCCTTCCAACTATCTGTAAGGAAAAATAATAATAAAAAGAAAAATCTCAAATATCTTAAACTTGAATCTCATTTCTTAGCCATAGAAAAGGCTTGTATTGGGCCGGGCACGGTGGCTCAAGCCTATAATCCCAGCACTTTGGGAGGCCGAGGCGGGTGGATCACAAGGTCGAGAGATCGAGACCATCCTGGTCAACATGGTGAAACCCCGTCTCTACTAAAAATATAAAAAATTAGCTGGGCATGATGGCGCGTGCCTGTAATCCCAGCTACTCGGGAGGCTGACGCAGGAGAATTGCTTGAACCCAGGAGGCGGAGGTTGCGTTGAGCCGAGATCGCGCCATTGCACTCCAGCCTGGGTAACGAGAGTGAAACTCCGTCTCAAGAAAAGGCTTGTATTTCTTTCTTTTCTTTCTTTCTTTCTTTTTTTTTTTTTTTTTTTTTTTGAGAGGGAGTTTAGACCTTGTCACCCAGGCTGGAGTGTAATGGCATGATCTGGGCTCACTGCAACCTTTGCCTCCTGGGTCAAACGATTCTCCTCCCTTAGCCTCCCGAGTAGCTGGGATTATAAGTGCCTACCACCCTGCCCAGCTAATCTTTATATTTTTAGTAGAGACAAAGTTTCACCATGTTGGCCAGGCTGATCTTGAACTCCTGACCTCAAATGATCCTCCTGCCTCAGCCTCCCAAAGTGCTGGGATTACAGGTGTGAGCCACCGCACCTGGCCAGGAAAGGCTTGTATTTCTTGTATATGGGCATGTTTCTTGTATTTGGGCATGTAGAATGCAAAACGGGTAACTTTTCAGGGCAGCTGTTTCTGTACCTGGTGACTCAGCGATCCAGGCTGTTTCCATCTTGTGGCTTTACCATCTAAATGCACGGCTTTCACAATTGCTGCAGCAGGGGAAGAGGGAGCTGGAGAGTCATTAAATGGCACTGAATGCTTTGGCCCAAGAGTAGCCAGTATTTCTATTCACAGCCCTTGAGCCAGAACTAGTCTTATGGTCTCAGCCTCACCACAAAGCAGGACAGGAAATGCTGTCATCCTTTATGCCCAGAAAAAAGGAAATGAAATGAGGTTCAATATCATATGGCATCATGTCTGCCACAGAGACACAAACAAGCAATGGGAGGAAGGATCCCAAGGACCTAACATCAGGAGAGTTACTGTTCACTATACTATTCACTCTTTCGTTCCTTCTTTCTTTCTTTGTTTTTTTTTTTTTTTTTTTTTTTTGAGACAGAGTGTCACTCTTGTTACCCAGGCTGGAGTGCAATGGCGCGATCTCGGCTCACCGCAACCTCCGCCTCCCGGGTTCAGGCAATTCTCCTGCGTCAGCCTCCCGAGTAGCTGGGATTACAGGCACGCGCCACCACGCCCAGCTAATTTTTTTTTGTATTTTTAGTAGAGACGGGGTTTCACCATGTTGACCAGGATGGTCTCGATCTCTCGACCTCGTGATCCACCCGCCTCGGCCTCCCAAAGTGCTGGGATTACAGGTTTGAGCCACCGCGCCCGACCTCTCTCTTTCTTTCTTTCTTTTTTTCTTTTTCTATCTTCTTTCTTTTTTTTGTACAACAACTATATACATACTCATTCACTATATTGTTTTGAATTTTTTTTTTCTTTTAAGAGACAAGAGTTTCACTCTTGTTGCCCAGGCTGGAGTGCAATGGCGCGATCTCAGCTCACTGCAACCTCTGCCTCCCGGGTTCAAGCCATTCTCCTGCCTCAGCCTTCCAAGTAGCTGGGATTACAGGCATGTGCCACCATGCCCAGCTACTTTTTTATATTTTTAGTAGAGACGGGGTTTCTCCATGTTGGTCAGGCTGGTCTTGAACTCCCAACCTCAGGTGATCCACCCACCTTGGTCTCCCAAAGTGCTGGGATTACAGGCGTGAGCCACTGCGCCCGGCCTGTTTTGAATTTTTTTAACCATTGGCTTACATATACTTTTTCAGTTAAAGACTTTGCACTTTTTGCAATGGATGCTAAGACTACTGGGTAAAAGTTTTATGAGGAACAGAATATAGTCTCAAAATATCTCCCCACAAGATACTTATTGTCCAGGCATGGTGGTTCATGCCTGTAATCCTAGAGTTTGGGGAGGCAGAGACCAAGTTGGGATGATTACTTGAGGCCAGGAGTTGGAGATCAGCCTGAGTAAGACCTATCTCTACAAAACATAAAAAATTAGCCAGGCCTGGTGGCATGCCTGTAGTCCTTGTTACTCAGGAGGATGAGGTGGGAGGATCACAGGAGCCCAGAAATTTGAGTCTACAGTGAGTTATGATTGGGCCACTGCACTTCAGCTTGGGCAACAGAGTGAGATCCTGTCTCTAAAAAAAGAAAAAAAAAAAAGGCCAGGCGTGGTGGCTCACACCTATAATCCCAGCACTTTGGGAGGCCGAGGCAGGCAGATCACAAGGTCAGGAGTTTGAGACCAGCCTGGCCAACCTGGTGAAACCCCATCTCTACTAAAAATACAAAAATTAGCTGGGCCTGGTGGCGTGCAACTGTAGTCCCAGCCACTCAGTAGGCTGAGGCAGGAGAATCACTTGAACCCAGGAGGGAGTGAGATCGCGCCACTGCACTCCAGCCTGGGTGACAAAGCGAGACTCCGCCTCAAAATAAACAAATAAATAAAAGAAAAAAAGATACTTATTAACTAAAAATGGACAAAGAATAACTTTACAGTGGAAAACCTGGCAGATACCGCCATGACCTCAAAATAAAAATTAACATCACCAGTAGTCAGTAATGTGACAAATAGCTATCATGTCCCTCCTGATTTAATAAACCAAGAATGCAACGTGGGTTTTAGAATATTCCTGCCAAAAAACCAGGTAAACCTAAATCAAAGAACTTCGTACAAAATATGCGGCCGGTGCCGCCTCGGGGTGAGGCCCTCACTTCATCCGGCGTCTAGCACCGCGTCCTGCAGCGCTCGCCCCACACTCAGCGCACCATGGCCTCCGACTCCGGGCTCGCCTGCATCTGCTCCGCCCTCATTCTGCATGACGATGAGGTGACCGTCACGGAGGATAAGATCAATGCCCTCATTAAAGCAGCTGGTGTAAATGTTGAACCTTTTTGGCCTGGCTTGTTTGCAAAGGCTAACGTCAACACCGGGAGCCTCGTCTGCAATGTCCGGGCCCGGGGACCTGCTCCAGCGGCTGGTGCTGCCCCCGCAGGAGGTAGTGCCCCCTCCACCACTGCTGCTCCAGCTGGGGAGAAGAAAGTGGAAGCAAAGAAAGAAGAACCCGAGGAGTCTGATGATGATATGGGCTTTGGTCTTTTTGACTAAACCTCTTTTATAATGTGTTCCATAAGAAGCTGAACTTTAAAAAACAAAACAAAACAAACAAAAATATGTGGCCTACCGGCCGGGCGCAGTGACTCAAGCCTGTAATCCCAGCACTTTGGGAGGCCGAGGCAGGTGGATCACGAGGTCAAGAGATCGAGACCATCCTGGTCAACATGGTGAAACCCCGCCTCTACTAAAAATACAAAAAATCAGCTGGGCATGGTGGCGCGTGCCTGTAATCCCAGCTACTCAGGAGGCCGAGACAGGAGAATTGCCTGAACCCAGGAGGCGGAGGTTGCGGTGAGCCGAGATCGCGCCATTGCACTCCAGCCTGGGTAACAAGAGCGAAACTCCGTCTCAAAAAAAAAAAAAAAAAAAATATGTGGCCTGTATTCTTCAAGCGACAAAGGATTGTGGACGGCAAAGTCAGACTCAGGAATTATTCTAGATTGATAGAAATTAAAGAGACTTGTCAGCTAAGTGCCATGTGTGTTCCTGGACTGGATCCTGAGCCAATACAAATAATTTTTCTTTCTTTCTTTCTTTTTTCTTTCTTTCTTTTTTTTTTTTTTAAATGGAATCTCTCTCTCTTGCCAGGCTGGAGTGGAGTGGCACGATCTTGGTTCCCTGCAACCTCTGCCTCCTGAGTTCAAGCGATTCTCCTGCCTCAGCCTCCCTAGTAGCTGGGACCACAGGCGCATGCCACCACATCCAGCTAACTTGTCTATTTTTAGTAGAGATGGGGTTTCACCATCTCTACTGGGCTAGGATGGTCTCAATCTCTTGACCTCAGGATCCACTCACCTTGGCCTCCCAAAGTGCTGGGATTACAGGTGTGAGTCACTGTGCCCGGCCTCTTTCTTGTTTCTGAGTTGAAGTCTCACTCTGTCACCCAGACTGGAGTGCAGTGATGCTATGGCAGCTCACTGCAACCTCTGCCTCCCAGCTTCAAGCAATTCTCCTGCCTCAGCCCTCCAAGTAGTTGGGGTTACAGGTGCCCGCCACCACACCTGGCTATGTTTTGTACTTTTAGTAGAAATGGGGTTTCTCCATGTTGGCCAGGCTGGTCTCAAACTCTTGGCCTCAGGTGGTCTGCCTGCCTTGGCCTCCCAAAGTGCTGGGATTACAGGCGTGAGTCACTGTGCTTGACCTCAGAAAAATAATTTTTCTTTTTGTTGTGGAGAACATTATCAAGACAGTCAAGGATATCTGAATATGGTCTCTGGGTTAGGTAATATTATTGTATCAATGTATTATTATTATTATTATTATTATTTTTGAGACGGAGTTTCGCTCTTGTTACCCAGGCTGGAGTGCAATGGCGCGATCTCGGCTCACCGCAACCTCTGCCTCCTGGGTTCAGGCAATTCTCCTGCCTCAGCCTCCTGAGTAGCTGGGATTACAGGCACGCGCCACCATGCCCAGCTAATTTTTTGTATTTTTAGTAGAGACGGGGTTTCACCATGTTGACCAGGATGGTCTCAATCTCTTGACCTCATGATCCACCCGCCTCGGCCTCCCAAAGTGCTGGGATTACAGGCTGGAGCCACTGCGCCCGGCCTCGGATAAGTTTTATATTTTTTGTAGAGGTGGGGTCTCGTCATGTTGTTGTCCAGGCTGGTCTCGAACTCCTAAGCTCAAGCGATCGATCCACCTCAGCCTCCCAAAGTGCTGGGATTACAGGTGTGAGCCACCGTGCCCGGCACTGGATTCTTAACAGCTCTAGAAGGTATCCATAGAGATCAGATGATGGTTCAACCTCCTCATTTTACAGTTAAGCTGGTGGGTTTGGCAGATGAAGCATGTGGATTAGAGTCTTGTGGATGAAGCTGAGCAGATTCAAAGACTGAGAGGGCAGAAAAAGAAAAGGAGATAAGAAAGGGCACATCACCAGGACCAGTTACAGAATGAGGAGGGCCCAGTGCAAAGTGAAAATGCAGGACCCTTTGTTCGTAAGTTATTAAGAATTTCAAAACCATGAAAGCAAGCATGGGGCCCTACTAAATGTGGGCCTGGTGTCACAGCACAGGTCGCACACCCATGAAGCTGGTCCCGAAGCTCATAGCCCACCAAATACATCCACACTCAGTCATTCATCCAAGGTCAGTTAATGTCCTACTAGGAAGGCGCTTTCAGTTGAAAGGGACAGAAACCATGATTCAAAATGACTTCAATTATAAGGAAATGTAGACCAGCAGAAGGTGTGTTTTCAAAATTATTATTATTATTTGAGATGGCCAACTGGCTTGGGCTTCGAAAGTGCTGACATCGCAGGTGTGAACCACCACTCCATGCTGGGCCTCAGGTTACACATATTTATTTATTCATCTTTTTTTTGAGATGGAGTCTCGCTCTTGTCACCCGGGCTGGAGTGCAATGGTGCCATCTCAGCTCACTGCAACCTCCACCTCCTGGGTTCAAGTGATTCTCCTCTCTTAGCCTCCTGAGTAGCTGGGATTATAGACACACACCACCACGCCCAGCTAATGTTTGTATTTTGAGTAGAGATGAGGTTTCACCATGTTGGCCAGGCTGATCTCGAACTCCTGACCGCAAGTGATCTACCCACTTCAGCCTCCCAAAGTGCTAGGATTACAGGTGTGAGCCACTGCGCCTGGCCTTTAAATTATTATCATTTTTGAGATGGAGTCTTGCTCTGTCACCCAGGCTGGAGTGCAGTGGCCCGATCTTGGCTCACGGCAACCTCTGTCTCCTGAGTTCAAGTGATTCTACTGCCTCAGACTCCTAAGTAGCTGGGACTACAGGTATGTATCACCACATCTGACTAATTTTTGTATTTTTAAAAATTATTGCTTTATTATTTGGAGACAAGGTCTTGCTCTGTTGCCCAGGCTGTAGTGCAGTGGCACAATCATGGCTCACTGCAGCCTCTGCCTCCTGGGCTCAAGCGATTCTCCTGCCCTGGCCTCCTAAAATGGAAGGATGACGATGTGAGCCACCACGCTCGGCCAGAGGTTTTTCTTTAGGCAGACTGTGATCACTGACACTCCATGTCACCAAAGGCCCAGGTTCTATCAGGCAAGTCTCTGTGCTCTGCTGTCCTCAGTGTTTGGAATTTGCCATCCAGCCTGACAACATCCAACAGTGAGTTTCTGTTTTCTTTGGCAGGAACAAGGATGACTTTCCCAGGAGCCTCTCGCATCTCATTAGCTAGAATTGGGTCCCATGTCCATGGCAGGAGGAATGTGGACCACGATTGGATTAGGTCATCAGGATGCCGCTCCTGTGGATCAGGTGGGACCATCTCGGTTCATTGCAAACTCCACCTCCCAGTTTCAAGTGATTCTCCTGCCTCAGCCTCCCAAGTATCTGGCATTACAGGCATGTGCCACCATGCCTGGCTCATTTTGTATTTTCAGTAGAGACGGGATTTCTCCATGTTGGTCAGGCTGGTCTCGAACTCCCAACCTCAGGTGATCCACCCACCTTGGACTCCCAAAGTGCTGGGATTACAGGCATGAGCCACCTCGCCCAGCTAGGTATATGTTTATTCTTATGTGCATTTAAAAAATAATTAATGAGCAGAACACAAAAAGCACTAGTCATAAAGAGAAAGATTGGTAATTTGAATTTATTAAAATGAAGAACTAAAAAAAATCTCATAATTCTGAAAGTGGTATTAAAAAAAATGAAGAACTACTATTAATCAAAAGATACCATTAAGAGAGAAAAAAGGCAGCTGGACGCCATGGCTCACACCTGTAATCCCAACACTGTGGAAGGCTGAGGTGGGAGGATCATGAGGTCAGAAGTTTAAGACCAGCCTGGCCAACATGGTGAAACCCCATCCCTACTAAAAATACAAAAATTAGCCAGGCGTGGTGGTGCATGCCTGTAATCTCAGCTACTCAGTAGGCTGAGGCAGGAGAATTCCTTGAATTCGGGAGGCGGAGATTGCGGTGAACCTAGATGGCGCCATTGCACGCCAGCCTGGGCAACGAGAGCCAAAGTCCATCTCAAAACAACCCCCAAAAAATAGCCAGGTGCGGTGGCTCAAGTCTGTAATCCCAGCACTTTGGGAGGCCAAGCGGGGCAGATCACAAGGTCAGGAGTTCGAGACCAGCCTGGCCAATATGGTGAAACACTGTCTCTACTAAAAATACAAACTTAGCTGGGCATGGTGGCGTATGCATGTAATCCCAGCTACTCAGGAGGCTGAGGCAGGAGAATTGCTTGAACCTAGGAGGCGGAGGTTGCAGTGAGCCAAGATTGCACCACCACTGCACTCCAGCCTGGGGGACAGAGTGAGACTTCGTCTCAATAAATAAATAAATAAATAAATAAATAAAATTTTAAAAATAGATAATTAGATAAAAAGAGAGATAAAAGGCAAACCATCAAGAGGGAGACTATATTTGCAATCCACATATTCAGCAATGAGAGGTGGCTCGTGCCTATAATCCCAGCACTTTGGGAGGCTGAGGCAGAAGGATCACTTGAGCCCAGGAGTTGAAGACCAGCTAGGCAACATAGGGAGACCTTTATCTCTCCAAAAAAAATGTTGTTGTTGTTGTTTTGTTTTGTTTTTGAGACAGAGTCTTGCTCTGTTGCCCAGGCTGGAGTGCAATGGCGCCATCTCGGCTCACTGTAACCTCTGCCTCCCAGGTTCAAGCAATCCTCCTGCCTCAGCCTCCCAAGTAGCTGGGACTACAGACACCCACTACCATGACTGACTCGTTTTTGTAGTTTTAGTAGAGACAGGGTTTCGCCATGTTGGCCATGTTGGTCTGGCTATTTTTTTCTATTATTAGAGACGGAGTTTAACCAAGTTGGCCAGACTGGTCTTGAACTCCTGACCTCAGATGATCCGTCACCTTGGCTTCCCAAAGTGCTGGGATTACAGGCTTGAACCACTGCATTCAGCCCTCCAGTTTTTTTTCTTTCTTTTTTTTTTTGTTTTGTTGAGATGGCGTCTCACTCTGTTGCCCAGGCTGGGGTGCAGAGGCACAATGTTGGCTCACGGCAACAACCTCTGTCTC